ATTTGCTTACAAGCACATTTGTATTAAATTGCCTTCGGCAAGGCTGGGTGACCGTATACCAAATGACTAGTGACTAGCGCAGTAGTAGTACGTAGTAGTTGGACCACGGCCTTTAAATTTAGAAGGCCGTGGTGTTTTGTACACATCGGGGGGGTGGGGTGGGGTGGGGTGGGGTGGGGTGGGGCATGTAATAACGTTCAATGTGAACTTGCGGAGGAAGGACATGCTTCTCTGTGGCTACTGTAAGTTCTCTGGAACTTGCCACTCATGCATCATGCCACGCTATGTAAGTTCTCTGGAACTTTCCACCCATACGTCATGCTATGTTACTGTAAGTTCTCGGGAACTTTCCATTCAGAACTTTCCACTCATGCGTCATGCCACGCTATTATAAGTTCTCTGGAACCTTTCATGCATACGTCATACGTCATGCTACGTTACTGTAAGTTCTCTTGATCTTTCCACTCATACGTCATGCTACGTTACTGTAACCCAAAAGATCAGGTTAGGCAATTTCCTGCCTAATAGTTATACAACCGGCAAATGACTTGGGTTTGTGGGAACATACCCTGGTGTAAATCTAGGTTCCATGTCATCTGCCGGAAACTAGTGTTTTTAGTGGACCTTAAGAGGGTTCATTTTGGAATGCGGGTATGTTGTGTGCACTAGGTGACATGAGACTTTTGTTTGTCATTGTAGCCGTTCAGCGCTGCCAATTCCCTGAATCCCAAGACCTAAGCCTTTTTGGGGCTCCTTGTGTTGATGACAGTTTGATGGGCCCACAGAAACTTGACAAAGGAGAGGCCAGAAGAGTTTCCTGACTGCATGTTCTGGTATGTTCTGGTCATTTTATACGCATGGCCTGTTTTAAAATGTGTTCGATTCTATAATGAATTCTTGTTTACATAATATATATATATGAATATATGGCTTTATTTTTGTATATGTATATAGGACAAAAGGTACAATAAAACCCCATGTCATGAGGCAGAGTTGGTTCTTGATGGCCCGGTCCAGGTTACTATGAAGCATGTGTGTTGGCTTAAGCGCAAATCCAAGCCGAAGGTCATGATGTCGGAGAATGTAACAACAGGAAACATAGAGCAGCGAATATGCGAAGTGTTGAGCGATGAGATGTCCTCCAGGGATCCCTGGTTTACATTGATCATGAGCTTTATTGTGCCAAATGCTGTGTTTTGAAAAGAGGTTATATAAGTCATATATATAATCTATTATATATATAGTAATTTTAGCATACGCTACTTGTATATATAGTACCTGCAGGTGACATGGGATGAACTTTTTTTCTATGTATCCTTTTCCCCCAGCTAATTTAAAATATGTTTTCCATTTCGAAATTGTAAGATGTTACACATTGAGGCACATATCTCAATTTTAAAAAATGAAAAAATAATAAAAAAAACATTCCAATACCTTGAAAATGAACCACTGAATGTTTTAGAACTGATTGTGGACATAAATTGATGGATAGAAATTAGTTTTTTGAACATATTTTGGCAAAAAAACATTTAAAAAAAATCATTCTAATACCTTGAAAATGATCCACTGAATGTTTTAGAACTGATTGTGGATACAATTTATTGAAAGAAATCTTTTTAAAAAAAAAACAAGTATTCAGCAAATATGTGCAATTTTGACATTTCAATATCTTACAAAAGCAATTTTTTCTAGTTTACAAACTATAAAAGTGACATTTCTCATTTTGCATCATTTTCCCCATTGCTCTTCTCCCGTTGTGTCTCCCTGTTGTAACACCCCCATTGTGTAATGCAACGAGTCGGCCGGCTGGCGCTACGAGTCGGAGTTCCGCCAACGCGCGCGCGCGTTGGTGGAAAGGCGGAGAGGCTGGCCCTCGGAAATTCGGATCTCGGGTACCTGATCTCCCGTGGGGGAAAAGGATACATAGAAAAAAAGTTCATCCCAGTCAGTTCTAAAACATTCAGTGGATAATTTCGAAGGTATTGGAATGCAAATTTAAGAGTTTGTTTTTAAAAAAAATCGAAAAAATGAAATTTTCATTTTATAAATTCGATTTATATATGTACATTGTTTTAAATACATTTAAAAGCTATTAAATACATTTAAAATTTATAGATGTGACTTTTCTATTTTTTTCGTTTTCGGATTTTCAGTTTTGTTCCCCTTTGTGTCTCCCCCTTGTGTTCCCCTGTTGTGTCTCCCCCGAGGCAGGCTGGCTCGAGGACTTCGACCTCACTTCGACCTCACTTTCGCTTTCGCTCTCCTGTGCTAAATTCCTCTTCCCATCTCCCTACCTGCCAGTTCCCACCTCCTGTGGTACATGTTTCCTCCCAACCTGCCAGTTCCGGCCTTGGAAGTCCCATTCCGGCCTTGGAAGTCCCATGTCATGTGTTAAATTCCTCTTCCCATCTCCCTACCTGCCAGTTCCAGCCTTGGATGTCACATCTCCCACGGTAAATTCTTCTTCTTGTCTCCGTACCTGCCAGTTCCGGCCTTGGAAGTCCCATGTCATGTGGTAAATTCGTCTCCCTTGGATGTCCCATCTCCTGTGGTAAAATTCCTCTTCCCATCTCCCTACCTGCCAGTTCCCACCGTCCCATCTCCTGTGGTAACTTCCTCTTCCCGTCTCCCTACCTGCCAGTTCCCACCTCCTGTGGTACATGTTTCCTCCCAACCTGCCAGTTCCGGCCTTGGAAGTCCCATTCCGGCCTTGGAAGTCCCATGTCATGTGCTAAATTCCTCTTCCCATCTCGCTACCTGCCAGTTCCGGCCTTGGAAGTCCCATGTCATGTGGTAAATTCGTCTCCCTTGGATGTCCCATCTCCTGCAGTAAATTCCTCTTCCCGTCTCCCTGCCTGCCAGTTCCCACCTTGGATGTCCCATCTCCTGTGCTAAATTCCTCTTCCCATCTCCCTACCTGCCAGTTCCCACCGTCCCATCTCCTGCAGTAACTTCCTCTTCCCGTCTCCCTACCTGCCAGTTCCCACCTCCTGTGGTACATGTTTCCTCCCAACCTGCCAGTTCCGGCCTTGGAAGTCCCATTCCGGCCTTGGAAGTCCCATGTCATGTGCTAAATTCCTCTTCCCATCTCCCTACCTGCCAGTTCCAGCCTTGGATGTCACATCTCCCACGGTAAATTCTTCTTCTTGTCTCCGTACCTGCCAGTTCCGGCCTTGGAAGTCCCATGTCATGTGGTAAATTCGTCTCCCTTGGATGTCCCATCTCCTGTGGTAAAATTCCTCTTCCCGTCTCCCTGCCTGCCAGTTCCCACCTTGGATGTCCTACCTGCCAGTTCCGGCCTTGGAAGTCCCATGTCATGTGGTAAATTCGTCTCCCTTGGATGTCCCATCTCCTGCAGTAAATTCCTCTTCCCGTCTCCCTGCCTGCCAGTTCCCACCTTGGATGTCCCATCTCCTGTGCTAAATTCCTCTTCCCATCTCCCTACCTGCCAGTTCCCACCTTAGATGTCCCATCTCCTGTGGTAAAATTCCTCTTCCCGTCTCCCTGCCTGCCAGTTCCCACCTCCTTGGTACATGTTTTCCCTCCCAACCTGCCAGTTCCGGCTTGAAGTCCCTTTCCGGCCTTGGACGTCCCTGTCATTGTGCTAAATTCCTCTTCCCGTCTCCCTGCCAGTTCCGGCCTTGGAAGTCCCATGTCATGTGGTAAATTCGTCTCCCTTGGATGTCCCATCTCCTGCGGTAAATTCCTCTTCCCGTCTCCCTACCTGCCAGTTCCCACCTGCTGTGGTAAATTCCTCTTCCCATCTCCCTACCTGCCAGTTCCCACCTTGGATGCCCCACTTCCCACGGTAAATTCTTCTTCTTGTCTCCGTACCTGCCAGTTCCGGCCTTGGAAGTCCCATGTCATGTGGTAAATTCGTCTCCCTTGGATGTCCCATCTCCTGGGGGGGGGGCAGTAAAATTTCCTCTTCCCATCTCCCTACCTGCCAGTTCCCACCTTAGATGTCCCATCTCCTGTGGTAAAATTCCTCTTCCCGTCTCCCTGCCTGCCAGTTCCCACCTTGGATGTCCCATCTCCTGTGCTAAATTCCTCTTCCCATCTCCCTACCTGCCAGTTCCCACCGTCCCATCTCCTGCGGTAACTTCCTCTTCCCGTCTCCCTACCTGCCAGTTCCCACCTCCTGTGGTACATGTTTCCTCCCAACCTGCCAGTTCCGGCCTTGGAAGTCCCATTCCGGCCTTGGAAGTCCCATGTCATGTGCTAAATTCCTCTTCCCATCTCCCTACCTGCCAGTTCCGGCCTTGGAAGTCCCATGTCATGTGGTAAATTCGTCTCCCTTGGATGTCCTGCGGTGAATTCCTCTTCCCGTCTCCCTACCTGCCAGTTCCCACCTGCTGTGGTAAATTCCTCTTCCCATCTCCCTACCTGCCAGTTCCCACCTTGGATGCCCCACCTCCCACGGTAAATTCTTCTTCTTGTCTCCGTACCTGCCAGTTCCGGCCTTGGAAGTCCCATGTCATGTGGTAAATTCGTCTCCCTTGGATGTCCCATCTCCTGCGGTAAATTCCTCTTCCCGTCTCCCTGCCTGCCAGTTCCCACCTTGGATGTCCCATCTCCTGTGCTAAAATTCCTCTTCCCGTCTCCCTGCCTGCCAGTTCCCACCTTGGATGTCCCATCTCCTGTGCTAAATTCCTCTTCCCATCTCCCTACCTGCCAGTTCCCACCGTCCCATCTCCCTGCGGTAACTTCCTCTTCCCGTCTCCCTACCTGCCAGTTCCCACCTCCTGTGGTACATGTTTCCTCCCAACCTGCCAGTTCCGGCCTTGGAAGTCCCATTCCGGCCTTGGAAGTCCCATGTCATGTGCTAAATTCCTCTTCCCATCTCCCTACCTGCCAGTTCCGGCCTTGGAAGTCCCATGTCATGTGGTAAATTCGTCTAAAAAAAAAGATGTCCCATCTCCTGCGGTGAATTCCTTTTCCCGTCTCCCTACCTGCCAGTTCCCACCTGCTGTGGTAAATTCCTCTTCCCATCTCCCTACCTGCCAGTTCCCACCTTGGATGCCCCACCTCCCACGGTAAATTCTTCTTCTTGTCTCCGTACCTGCCAGTTCCGGCCTTGGAAGTCCCATGTCATGTGGTAAATTCGTCTCCCTTGGATGTCCCATCTCCTGCAGTAAATTCCTCTTCCCGTCTCCCTGCCTGCCAGTTCCCACCTTGGATGTCCCATCTCCTGTGCTAAATTCCTCTTCCCATCTCCCTACCTGCCAGTTCCCACCGTCCCATCTCCTGCGGTAACTTCCTCTTCCCGTCTCCCTACCTGCCAGTTCCCACCTCCTGTGGTACATGTTTCCTCCCAACCTGCCAGTTCCGGCCTTGGAAGTCCCATTCCGGCCTTGGAAGTCCCATGTCATGTGCTAAATTCCTCTTCCCATCTCCCTACCTGCCAGTTCCGGCCTTGGAAGTCCCATGTCATGTGGTAAATTCGTCTCCCTTGGATGTCCCATCTCCTGCGGTACATTCCTCTTCCCGTCTCCCTACCTGCCAGTTCCCACCTTAGATGTCCCATCTCCTGTGGTAAAATTCCTCTTCCCGTCTCCCTGCCTGCCAGTTCCCACCTTGGATGTCCCATCTCCTGTTGTTCCCTACCTGCCAGTTCCGCCTGCCAGTTCCCATCTTGGATGTCCCACCTCCTCATCTTGGTTGTCCCATCTCCTGCGGTAAATTCCTCTTCCCATCTCCCTACCTGCCAGTTCCCACCGTCCCATCTCCTGCGGTAAATTCTTCTTCCCATCTCCCTACCTGCCAGTTCCCACCTTGGATGTCCCATCTCCTGCGGTAAAGTCCCATGTCATGTGTAAATTGGCTCACTTGTTCCCATGTCATCTGTCAAAAAAATGGAAAAATGCCTGCCCGTTAAGCCGGCGCATAACTCCCATGTCATCTGTAAAAAAAATGGAGCAAGAAAAAGAGGGAACATGTGCTCTTTGGTTGTTTGTAAGTCCCAAGTCATCTGCACCTGGGATATTTCCAATAGCAAAAATTAGTGAACCTCCGAAGTCAAGAACTTGTCCAAGTCATCTGCCCTTTTGTCAAAAGGGTATCTTTGAGTCCTATGTCATGTGCCTTGTGAGCGGTCGTTTTTGCACTTATCCGACCCTATGTCATCTGCCCCTAATATAATTCCTTATTCCTACCTAATTAGGTAATTTGTAGGTAAACATGTACACGTAACCTAATTTTACGGTAATTCGGCACGTGGGGTTGAAAGTTTGCGTGCAAACTTGCGAGGCGGGGCTGAAAGTTTGCATGCAAACTTGCGAGACGAGGTTGAAAGTTTGGATGCAAACTTGCGAGGGGAGGTTGAAAGTTTGCGTGCAAACTTGCGAGGGGGGGTTGAAAGTTTGCGCGAAAACTTGCGAGGCGGGGTTGAAAGTTTGCAAGCAAATTTGCGCCCTTTGACACACACGCAAGCATTTGAATGCAAATGGTGGTGCAAGTTTACACTCAAACTTGCGAGGGGGGTTGAAAGTTTGCCTGCAAACTTGCGAGGGGAGGTTGAAAGTTTGCATGCAAACTTGCGAGGCGGGGTTGAAAGTTTGCGTGCAAACTTTCGTTGAAAGTTAGGTAAAAAATTAGTTAAGGCAAGAAACATTAACCAATTTAGGTCAGGAAAAAATAAACTAATAGTTATTTTTTTGTCTGAGATAAGGAGTTACCTTTTCGGCAGAAAATTGCCTAACCTGATCTATTGGGAAGTTCTCTGGAACTTCCCATGCATACGTCATGCTACGTTACTGTAAGTTCTCTTGAACTTTCCACTCATACGTCATGCTACGTTACCGTAAGTTCTCTGGAACTTTCCACTCATGCGTCATGCCACGCCATTGTAAGTTCTCTTGGAAGAACTCGAAGCGTTGCTGTGACCAACACAGGAATCAAAACACATCATGTCAGGTTGAATATTTTTAAGAATTCTCACAAACCCCAAAAATGGTAGTTTCGTCTAGGCGAAATGCTTGTTTTTGAAAATATGCATCAGAATAAGGGGTTAACGGCCTCGCAACGCGGTGTGCCAGTCCATGGCAATTGTACATTCCCTGCCTGAATCACAACGCCTGCATGCAAGCATCCCTCACCTAAGATAGGGAACACATGGGAATACTATGCATGAAGCACAGCACATGCCGAGAACAACGCGGGAGAGCAACTCATACTGAACACAAATCCCAAACGAAATTCTGAAACCATGTTGTGGCAGCATGTGGCAGGAAAATTCTCGGGCAGCAAGGGGCGAGGGGGTCACACCACTGTAGTCACTGCAATCCAATGCATTTGCGAAATGTCAAAATTTGTGATCGTATCTTGCTGGGCATACCGCCCTTCAACAGCTCGGGTTTAGCGCCCAGCTTTCCCAGTGTCAAAACAAAGCTCGTTGAACAGTGGCCTCCACAAAGTGGTTTGTTGATGTTTGTTGTGTTTTTGTGCTTTTGTCATTGTATGCCATTGTCATTGTCTGATTTGGCTGCGGGGGATGCTGTGTCTGTTTTTCATAGTTTTGTTTTTTTGTTGTCTGCTCCGCGATGTTCTGGGGTGTGTGCTGCGAATGGGCACGAGAAAAGGATAGGTAGGATTATTGATGCCTGACTGCATGAGACATGCAAATGCATCGTGCTAAAGCACCCGGCAGTGCCACACCTGCCACACCTCCTGAGGCTATCCTCTGCAGGGGCGGCCTTGGTCGCCACACTGGTTCTCACAGTGCCACAGAGGACACTTGGCACACCAGGAATTGAGTTCCAAAGACTTTGCAACGTGCGAGACTTTGTGGACACTGCGGTCAGCTTAGGATTCCTGGCGGGACCTTTCCGGTGCGGACCCTGTTCGCATCGCTCCGATTCTTCGATGGGGGGCCACTCATCCAGGCAAGAAGCTTGAATACACGAGGACATGCAGACGACATGCATACCCTCTAGATGCACAGGTATGTATACTTGCGGACAGACATACATATGTACTCACGCACATGATTGAATCATGGGTCGTGACATTTGTCAGTCCGACCTTGACATGTCACAGCAAGCGTCGATCATGGTGCAGGTCGAGTAAGTTAAATGCAGAACCGAAAACCTGCACATCTTCGTGTAGAATCCCTGAAGGGCCGGGATCGCAGGCCCAGTCTGTTCGCACATGTTTGCCTTCACCGCAGGCCGGTCAACTTCGGAAGGAGCTGAGGAAGCACGGCGTCGAGCTCCACATCGCCTCACTACTCAATCAGCGGTTGGTCTACCCCCATCACCCGTACATAGCCCTCAGGTGTCCCATCACTAGGTGCCGATCTGGATCTGCGCCCCTTCCAGCTTCCACCAGTTATTTGTTCAATCTGGTCTTGCAAGGGTAAGGGCAGTCCCTTTCCCCCCCTCGCTTGAAGTCTCGATGGGACGCTCTCAACTTGTCCTTCATCTGATTATTGTTTCACTTCCTCGCACCTTGACGGGCCCATATTTTCAATACCCCATTGAGGCCTGAGTGACAGCCAACCTTCTGCCGACACACCGGCTGAGGCCAACGACATCACCCTGGCACAGGATATCGTCGCCGAGGTCTTTGACGCGATCGCCGAGTCTGACTCTGGGCTTCACCTGTGGTGACTACCTGCCTGTAGTGCTAGGGGCGCCAGGGTCTTCAATTTCTTTGATCCAAGGATGGCTTCGTTGTTTTCGGCACCTCGGGTTATGCCGAAAGGACGGACTGCCCTGCCAGCACTGCGCACGAGCTCGATGCTTGGGAACCTTGGCTGGAGATGGAGATGGGCATGCGATGGCATGAGGTGGGCATGCGATAGCACGCACGCACGCAATTGCACATACAGACGCGCACACTTTTGATTTGCCGATGTTGCCGTTAGAATCTTGAAGATTCCTGGGAACAACCGAGATGAAGATGCTGTCGAAGATGAGCAAGAAGCAAAAGAAGCGCCGCCAGCCAATGCTCATCAACATGCTGACCCAGACGAAAGGTTCCAGCACAAAGCTGCGAAGGAGCCTTCCCGCTGCTTGTGTTCCCGTTTTTGGGCTTCGGCATCTGTTTGTGATTGTGCCGTGCCCGCTTGCAGTGCTTGCAGGAACTATTTCACAGCAGCATCTACCAGGTGCACTGGAAAGAGGACAGCGACCGTGACAAGGCACTCTTATCATGCGAAGCTGTGTCAACAGGCAACTGTGCCCTGTCACCCTGGAGGTGGTGAGTTCGGTCCTGACGGCGGTGCATAAGATGGGCCACCCAGATCGCTGCCCTGCACGGCTGGGGCGCAAGAGCATCTTGGATCAAACATCAAACGTGCCCCAGGTATGTTCATCATTCTGTTTTGAGATTTTATATTGCCCAACCAGCTTGCGATATCTTGCGATGCTGCTTGATGTCTTCTGCATGGTTTTCCGGAACTTGTTGCTGCGTTTCCAATAGCCGCTGCAGTTTGCAGAGTGCCTTCGTTGTCGGTTTGTGTTCACTCACGCTCGGGATTCCTGAGGAGGATGCACCTGCGAGGATGCACCTGCGGACTCTCGAAATTGGCCACCACCTCAAGCCTTTGCACCTCCAAGAAGGCAATGCCCTTCGGAAAAGGAGCGCTGCGCGGCGCTGCACAGGCCAAGGCAAAAGCCAACCCTGGCCCTTCAGATGACCAGCAGCCAAAGGCTAAAGCAGCTGCCAAGCGGGCAGCCAGGAACAGCACATGATTACTCTTGTCATTTTCACTGGGCTCACCTAGAAATCGGATAAGTTCTACGTATTCATGCTTTCCATATCTGAAATTAGAATACCGTATGCCAATATTGTTTTAAAACACTTGGTTACTTACATTGTTGAAATCCTACAGTGCTAGACTTACAAATCCCAATGATTGGCATTCCACGGAAGGTAGCTATTCCAACCATAAATTCAGTGTATTCCCAACCAGCACTGGGTCAAATAACTATATAGCCCCAAACCAAATATGATCATTGTTGGGTATGAACAAAAACAAAGGTCCCTGCAAAAAGGGTTGGTTTTCCATTCTGTGCTTCGGACTATATGGGAGCCCTGGTGAGGAATGCAAGATTTAATGGAAGAATTCCATGGTTTTGAGCGTGCCAACTCCACAACGCACTGGCTTGTCGCAAGTGTCACCGTGGATGATCTATCGTGCCACATGAATCGGGAAAAATTAGTTAGCAAATGGTGTACTGCACAGTACTCGTCGTTTCAGCTGGCCAAACAAACAGCTGATATGTGGGTCAAACAGTTTTGGATTCCAGGTTTGACACAGCACATAAAGTCAACACGGCACTGTTTTTGTTGTGACACTATTTTGGTGATGGATTGATCGATATCCAAATTTGATCCATGATACACCGTTGATCACAAAAAACCCACGGCCTTCTAAAGGCTGTGCTCCTAGTTAGTAGTACAGCAGTAGAAGTAGAAGTAGAAGTAGAAGTCGTAGTAGTAGTAGTAGTCGTCGTCGTCGTAGTAGTAGTAGTAGGAGTAGTAGTAGTAGTAGTAGTAGAAGTAGTAGTATAGTAGTAGTAGTAGTAGGAGGACTAGGAGTAGCACTATCAATAGCAGTAGGAGCAGTAGCAGTAGGAGCAGTAGCAGCAGCAGCAGCAGCAGTAGTAGTACTAGTACTAGTACTAGTAGTACTAGTAGTACTAGTAGTACTAGTAGTACTAGTAGTACTAGTAGTACTAGTAGTACTAGTAGTACTAGTAGTACTAGAAGTACTAGTAGTACTAGTAGTACTAGTAGTACTAGTAGTACTAGTAGTACTAGTAGTACTAGTAGTACTAGTAGTAGTAGTAGTAGTAGTAGTAGTAGTAGTAGTAGTAGTAGTAGTATAGTAGTATAGTAGTATAGTAGTATAGTAGTATAGTAGTATAGTAGTAGTAGTAGTAGTAGTCGTAGTAGTCGTAGTAGTCGTAGTAGTCGTAGTAGTCGTAGTAGTCGTAGTAGTCGTAGTAGTCGTAGTAGTCGTAGTAGTCGTAGTAGTCGTAGTAGTCGTATAGTAGTCGTAGTAGTCGTAGTCGTAGTACTTTGGCGCTTTTTACGTTTACAAGGTTTATAACAAAGGTTACAACCATTTGCAGTCACTTAGCGGAATCCTCGCAGCTAACCACTTATCAGGACTTATAACCACTTAACTCAGCAAATCCTCGTGGCCAGGAAAATGCCCACGAGGGACCCCAAAAAGGCCACGAGGCGTTGTACAAACCACGGTTTTAGGTAGGCAGGAAATTCAGGTGCTCAAGTACAAGTGTTAACCTGCGCAAAGGACTTGTACCACAAAAACCAAAACAGGTATTGCACAAATCCGGGGAATTCAGCTGCTGAAACACAAGCGTTTACCCGCAAAATTAACATGCACAACTAAGTCAAGAAAGAAGACACAAAACAAATCCGCCAACTCAGAACATGTCAGGTTTTGGCGCCGGCAGGATTTGATAGGAATAGGCAAGAATGAAAGGATGCATACAATCGTCAAACAGCCATGTAGCAGTAGCACCATGAATCACGCAACCTCATGCGAAATTATTGTTCGAAAGAGAAAAATTGCGGAACTGAACTATATTCAAAACGGTGCAACTACGAAAAACTGGTCAAGATCCAATGCATTTTTTTCTTGCGATACATGTTTTTTTCCTGCAATGCATGTTTCTAAAGGTTTTGGCCCCGATACGGCCCCGATACGGTCCGATACGGCCCCGATACGGCCACCGAAATGCATTTTTCCAAAAATTCAACCGCCAAAGGCTGGCATTTTTTGAAAAAATCGGAACTATATATTAAAGAATTGATTGGAGCTATCCGTGGTGAAGAGTCTTGGACTGATTTGTCATGATTTGTTTTGCTTTTGCGAACTTTACGTGGTGGAAAAATTGGTGGATTTGTGTGAAAATGAAAAAGTGCGAAACCAAACATCCTGAAGATATTTTTTTTGAGGCCATGCCGCCATGCCTTTGGCAAAAAAGCAGCATGAAAACAACGGCGTTGGTTTTGAGGTAGATCTTCAAATGTTTCAATCTGTGTGTGCTGCATGTCCTTCAAACAATCTAAAACCCCTTGCTGTTCTTTTTTGCGGCTGTGTTTTTGGTGAATTTGCAAAGAGAAAGCATGCAAGAAAAGCACATGTGAATTCCTGCAGACACGCCTGCGTAATTCATAATGTGAAATCTTACAGGCTTGGCTACGCACCTGCTTCAAAAACAGAACACATCACATCCAAAGATACTTTTGCACAACCCACGAGAAAGCACGACCACTTAGGGGACTTAGCTAACTCCACTTATAAACACTTAGCCACGTGGTCTTTGGGCCTGTTACTAACTGGCCTAAGTCTGAACTAACTATTTACAATTGAGCTGTGACTTATAACTGAGAAGGCTCAAACTTAGCCACATTATAAACTCATTTGGGGTAGATATAACCCCACTTGTGCAACTTATAAACCAAGTTGTAAGTTGCGCAACTTCAAAAAGCACCAAAGTAGTCGTAGTAGTCGTAGTAGTCGTAGTAGTCGTATAGTATAGTCGTGTAGTAGTCGTATAGTAGTCGTAGTCGTAGTCGTAGTAGTAGTAGTAGTAGGAGGACTAGGAGTAGCTTTAGCAGTAGCAGTAGGAGCAGTAGCAGTAGCAGTAGGAGCAGTAGCAGTAGCAGCAGCAGCAGTAGTAGTACTAGTACTAGTACTAGTACTAGTACTAGTACTAGTACTAGTAGTAGTAGTAGTAGTAGTAGTAGTAGTAGGAGTAGTAGTAGTAGTAGGAGTAGTAGTAGTCGTCGTAGTAGTCGTAGTAGTCGTAGTACTGTAGTATATAGTAGCCGTAGTAGTTGTAGTAGTCGTAGTAGTCGTAGTAGTACTAAGACTTAGCTACTTATTTGCAGGGAGAGAGGGTGAGGAGGGGGGTGGACCCAATTCAGACAAAACAAAAGCGCTTATCAAGAGAACAAAGGAACTAGTACAGACCAAGATATCCAAGAACAGAACAGGAACAACACCTTCCAATCAGACACGCGGGCAGGCCGGCGGATTACAAAACAATAATATATATATATATATATATATATATTATTTTTTAAATATATCTATATATATATATATACTTGTTTTCTTTTCAACACCTCTACCATATGTGCCTATGCGTTCGCGCAAGTTTGATGAGTGGCATCTTATTTTGGTGGTCCGTGTGGCAGGACAAGTATGGCAAGATGCTTGGGGAACTCCGGGAATCGGTGATGGGCACCGAGGCGGGCCAGTGGAAATCAGCGGAAACGAGAGACTGGGACCATGGTAGCTGGGTTTGTTACTAGCTAAAGAGAGATAGACCATTGAAAAACTCAAATGCCGAAAACTAGATTATATATATACTTGATGAACGGAGGAAGACCTTGTCTGAAGGCGATGCAGACAGAGAGGGAGAAAGATGAAGATAACCTTTCCTAAAAAAATAACCATTTTCATCCATTTACCGTTGTTAATATATATATATGTTGTAGTGACTGGGTAGCGACCTAGCGTGCTGAGTCGCAGTGGAGCGAACGCGAGGAAATCGTTTTGCCATCTTTATTGTTTTGGGAGAACATGGGAGGACATACTTGCCCCATTTCACTTGAAAACGTGCAAAAATACTCACCCCCCATAAAAGTTTGGTTCCTTAAAACTTAAAGTTGAAGTTTTTCAAGAAAACTACAAATAACGATAATAACGTATCCCCCTATAAGTCCCCTAGAATACATATATATATATATACATACATACACACATATCCATTCCCAACTGTTGGCCATGTCATTTGGCTGTTCCGGGTGTCCCACAGCGCCATTCCAATTCCAGCGCCAGGGCTTGGTACAAGCGCAGAAAGCCGAGATCTCCCAGCTGAAAGGCAGCGCATATTTATAAGACTACATGTAAATATTAGAGATTACAAAATAAATCCAATTATATATATAAAAACATATGTAATATGTTTAAAAATGTGTATTGTATATATACATATATATATATATATATACATGGGCAAAGATGGATGATTGTAAAATTACGACTTGTCCTTGACACCATGCAGTTCGTGTGGCAATAGGAAATCCCGGCACTAAATGGAGGTTTTAATGGGACATTTATATACATGGTGAATTTTCAATTACCGGAAGGTACCTCCAATCGTTTTTGATGTTTCCCAACATCGACCCATGCAACGGCAAACACGTATTATGAACGTTGCTTCGTAGGATTTAGGGTCAATTCCCAGCTGTCAGCTGTGGCAGGCGTTGTGGCTGCTCAAGAGACCTACATGACGGCGGCGAAACATAAGGCATCCTGGCCGTGTGGAAGCGCTGCATTCGAATTTGTTTGTTCGCATCACGGCACAGATTTTTTTTGGTTATTCATGGGTATTTTTTTGGAAAAAAAAACATGAACCTGGGATATGACCTCGATGCCTATGGCTATAATTAATTTAAATTATATATTTATATAATACCCTCAGGTACAAGAGGGTCTGGAATGGTCTGCCTACAGGTCCAAAAATTCAAGGTCTAGAATGGTTTTTTGATCAGTTTAGACCTTGGCCCGGGATCACTTAAGACCTTTTGACTATATATAAGTAAGGACTGGTAACACCATGTTAGACCTTAGCCTTTTGGGATCATGTTAGACTTTCGCACCCTCTGGATGGGATCATGTTGGACCTTCGCAGTGAAGGACAGGGAGATTTTCCAGCCAAATCTCCAAAGCTTCAGATTGAATTCGGAAGGGTCAAATGAGTCAAATACCTGGTTCTAGCTGCGACATGCCCAAACATGCAGCAGGGACGTCTACTCTACTTTAATCCACGTCATCACAACTATTTCACTTACCTGATGGAATTCACTGCGTCAAAAATGGATTTCCCTAGCCCTTATTGTATCCATTCCCCAGGAAAACACCTACGCAATATCAACATAGACCCATCAGAGTTGAGGGAAAATTTGACATGAAGCCCGATAGAAGGATATATCATAAGATATCCATATATTTCCACAAATGTTTTCAGAAACCTACATGGAACTGAATGAATCTGTTGGACCCCAGAGAAAGGACAACATGTTTACCTGCTGTAATTCACTGCGTCTAAAATGGATTTCCCTAGCCCTTATTGCATCCTTTCCCAGGAAAACACCTACGCAATATCAACATAGACCCATCAGAGTTGAGGGAAAATTTGACATGAAGCCCGATAGAAGGATATATCATAAGATATCCATATATTTCCACAAATGTTTTCAGAAACCTACATGGAACTGAATGAATCTGTTGGACCCCAGAGAAAGGACAACATGTTTACCTGCTGTAATTCACTGCGTCTAAAATGGATTTCCCTAGCCCTTATTGTATCCATTCCCCAGGAAAACACCTACGCAATATCAACATAGACCCATCAGAGTTGAGGGAAAATTTAACATGAAACCCATAGAAGATATATTATAAGATATCCATATACTTCCACAAATGTTTTCAGAACTACCTGGGACTGAGTGAATCTGTTGGACCCCAGAGAAAGGACAAAATATTTACCTGATGTAATTCACTGGGTCTAAAATGGATTTCCCTTGCCCTTATTGCATCCTTTCCCAGGAAAACACCTACGCAATATCAACATAGACCCATCAGAGTTGAGGGAAAATTTGACATGAAGCCCGATAGAAGGATGTATCATAAGATATCCATATATTTCCACACATGTTTTCAGAAACCTACATGGAACTGAATGAATCTGTTGGACCCCAGAGAAAGGACAACATGTTTACCTGCTGTAATTCACTGCGTCTAAAATGGATTTCCCTAGCCCTTATTGTATCCATTCCCCAGGAAACACCTACGCAATATCAACATAGACCCATCAGAGTTGAGGGAAAATTTGACATGAAACCCGATAGAAGGATATATCATAAGATATCCATATATTTCCACACATGTTTTCAGAAACCTACATGGAACTGAGTGAATCTGTTGGACCCCAGAGAAAGGACAACATATTTACCTGCTGTAATTCACTGCGTCTAAAATGAATTTCCCTAGCCCTTATTGTATCCATTCCCCAGGAAAACACCTACGCAATATCAACATAGACCCATCAGAGTTGAGGGAAAATTTGACATGAAACCCGATAGAAGGATATATCATAAGATATCCATATATTTCCACAAATGTTTTCAGAACTACATGGAACTGAGTGAATCTGTTGATCCCAGAGAAAGGACAACATATTTACCTGATGTAATTCACTGGGTCTAAAATGGATTTCCCTTGCCCTTATTGCATCCTTTCCCAGGAAAACACCTACGCAATATCAACATAGACCCATCAGAGTTGAGGGAAAATTTGACATGAAACCCGATAGAAGGATATATCATAAGATATCCATATATTTCCACAAATGTTTTCAGAAACCTACATGGAACTGAATGAATCTGTTGGACCCCAGAGAAAGGACAACATGTTTACCTGCTGTAATTCACTGCGTCTAAAATGGATTTCCCTAGCCCTTATTGTATCCATTCCCCAGGAAAACACCTACGCAATATCAACATAGACCCATCAGAGTTGAGGGAAAATTTGACATGAAACCCGATAGAAGGATATATCATAAGATATCCATATATTTCCACAAATGTTTTCAGAAACCTACATGGAACTGAATGAATCTGTTGGACCCCAGAGAAAGGACAACATGTTTACCTGCTGTAATTCACTGCGTCTAAAATGGATTTCCCTAGCCCTTATTGTATCCATTCCCCAGGAAAACACCTACGCAATATCAACATAGACCCATCAGAGTTGAGGGAAAATTTAACATGAAACCCAGTAGAAGATATATTATAAGATATCCATATACTTCCACAAATGTTTTCAGAACTACCTGGGACTGAGTGAATCTGTTGGACCCCAGAGAAAGGACAAAATATTTACCTGATGTAATTCACTGGGTCTAAAATGGATTTCCCTTGCCCTTATTGCATCCTTTCCCAGGAAAACACCTACGCAATATCAACATAGACCCATCAGAGTTGAGGGAAAATTTGACATGAAGCCCGATAGAAGGATGTATCATAAGATATCCATATATTTCCACCCATGTTTTCAGAAACCTACATGGAACTGAATGAATCTGTTGGACCCCAGAGAAAGGACAACATGTTTACCTGCTGTAATTCACTGCGTCTAAAATGAATTTCCCTAGCCCTTATTGTATCCATTCCCCAGGAAAACACCTACGCAATATTAACATAGACCCATCAGAGTTGAGTGAAAATTTAACATGAAACCCAGTAGAAGATATATCATAAGATATCCATATACTTCCACAAATGTTTTCAGAAACCTACATGGAACTGAATGAATCTGTTGGACCCCAGAGAAAGGACAACATGTTTACCTGCTGTAATTCACTGCGTCTAAAATGGATTTCCCTAGCCCTTATTGTATCCATTCCCCAGGAAAACACCTACGCAATATCAACATAGACCCATCAGAGTTGAGGGAAAATTTAACATGAAACCCAGTAGAAGATATATTATGAGATATCCATATATTTCCACACATGTTTTCAGAAACCTACATGGAACTGAGCGAATCTGTTGGACCCCAGAGAAAGGACAACATATTTACCTGATGGAATTCACTGGGTCTAGAATGAATTTCCCTATCCCTTATTGCATCCTTTCCCCACAATACACCTACGCAATATCAACATAGACCCATCAGACCCTACCCAGCCCTTCACGAAAGACTCTGCTCAAATACAATCTTTTGAAAAATCATATGTTTCACAGATAAATGAATCTTTTGACATGATTCTCAGGCCTCCTTAGCTGCTTCCAACGGATGGGTGATCAAAATGAGGCATGCTAGAAATGATTGGAGACGTCGCATGGCCAACCACAAATGACACGGGCCCTACAAACCCCCAAGACGCAGAAACTTTGAGACTGTGTTTGTCTTCAAAATGCAGCAGTAAGAAGAAAGTATAATGCCATCAAGCGATAGCCCAAAGTAGAGTAGACGCCCCTACTGAGGAAAAAACAGAGGTTTAATCTGAGGGGGGACATAGGGGGACCAGGGGCCAGAGGGTCTAAACTGTTCTTAGCGGTTGAGGGTCTAAAGTGTTCCTAGCCAGCTAACATGCTACTGGAAACACCTGCCGAGGCCTGGATCCAGAACCCTAGGGTAGGGTCTGAACACTTAACGAAATCTAACGTTTACTCCCAGGCAAGTCCATCTTAGACCCACCAAAAAAGGTCTACAATGAAAAACCTGAAGTCCCTTGGTTGTAGCTGCCGGGATTTTATATATTCATATTCACTTGCAACTGGAACTGCATCCCCCACGGGCGCAGAAGTATAGAGAATAGAATAAGTTGATCGCAGAATATAGCAAGCAGGTCCGGCTTTCTCGCCATGTTAAATCGTTCCTGACTCCTATGGCATGTAGATCCACTTGATTGACTCCTAAACATGCCTGTCAGAATAGATGTCCCATGGTATCCATATGCCTGATTCCTGAGGAGTATTGGTTCCGTACTGCAGGCACATAAACAAACAAATATAGTTGATAAAGAAAGTGCACAGAGAGATATGTACAAACATACATACACAATATTTTGCATGTAGAATAAGGATAGCATTTGTTTTTGATGATCGCATGATTTGTATCGCTCTGGCACCGCTAGCGCCAGGAGCATTTGGAGGGCCTTAATCAATCTCTCGAGAAACAGCTTGAGAATGCCAGAGGTTCGACCTACCTGGAGGATTCCTAAAGTACTAAGTATATACTACTACAGTAAGTCATCCATGGACCATTGAATAGGCAAACAACTTCACGGAGCTTGACCAGAACAAGTTCCATTTCAATTTTGAGACATGCTTTGAACCTGTTGGGACACGTTTGCTGCTTCTTGTTGAATTTATCGATCAGCTATGTGTCCCAAAATTGTCGGCAAAAGTTAGATTCGGGCTCGGGGGGTCAACAGGGCAGTGTGGGGCAACCCATTCCACTTTATTGGAGGGTTCGATGCTAGGCATATTTGATGCAACATTTTTCAATGCCAATGGATTTTTGTGTGATCTTATAATAAAATCATCTATACCTCTAATGTATTAATGTAAAATTTATAAATACATATATTATCATATACTATTTCCTATTAAATTTCACGAGCTCCTGGGATTTTGTGATTTTAGGGAATATTGGATATCAAGGTCAAGATGCAGTATTTGGTGCAGTGTACGCGCACAAGGGTGGCACCAAAAAACTCAAGCGTCATGGTTCGCACGGGTTTTGCACTGGATCAGCCTTCCATAAATGGAATTGGTCCAATTAATCCTTCAGAAAAAATGAAACGGTCGGAAACGGTCGGAAACGGTCGGAAACGGTCGGAAACGGTCGGAAACATGATCAGGCCAAAACTTGTTCAACCCGCATTTTTTAAAAATAAGCATTTCCGCGCAACGCCGTTTTTTTTTTGAAGGTCCAAAGGTGTCCAAGGGGAAACGGTTGGAAACAGTCGGAGATCGCACCTTCGCTCGGCACAAAAATAGTTGTTTTGTAGCATATGTTCATGAAAAATGTTCCGTTTCCCCTTGGACACCTTTGGACCTTCAAAAAAAAAACGGTGTTGCGCGGAAATGCTTATTTTTAAAAAATGCGGGTTGAACAAGTTTTGGCCTGATCATGTTTCCGACCGTTTCCGACCGTTTCATTTTTTCTGAAGGATTAATTGGACCAATTCCATTTATGGAAGGCTGATCCAGTGCAAACCCGTGCAAACCATGACGCTTGAGTTTTTTGGTGCCACCCTTGTGCGCGTACACTGCACCAAATATTGCATCTTGACCTTGATATCCATTATTCCCTAAAAATCACAAAATCCCAGGAGCTCGTGAAATTTAATACTATTTCCTAGATGCCACTGGATCGTTTTTATCGGTTTCTTCCGGCCTGCACGCCAGATGAAATTGCTGATTTGAAGCATCAATTGGCCTGTCGGGGAGCCAAAACTATACTGTAATTTGACATTGACTTCAGGCTCCTGGAATCTTCAAATTTCACCACAAGTCCATACAAGTCCCCCAAGGACCGGAGCGGTGCATGATCATAGCATATATAATATATATAAGTTGTATATTTTATTTTATTGTATTATAATGATGCACACACATAAATAAATAAATACATATATAATATATAGATATATATTATACAGATGTACAGAATTATTTGCTTATGGTACTTCAGAGGTTTTGGAGGCAGCTGGAAATTGCCATGTTTTTTTACTCCCTTGGCTTTGCTGGATATCCCTTCCACCCAATTAGCTTGGCTGAAAGTTGCTGCCTGAGAGCGCGGGGCTTTAGTTCGTTTGTTGCTTTGTGAATGGGGCGGATTGATATCAGAGATGACCTGGCCCCCTTGGCGGCCTGACTCTTTTACTTGAAGCTGTGTAAGTTCATGGCTCCTATCAGCAACTGCGGCCGGTTTGATATAGTCTTGTCGGGATTCGGCTCTTATTCAAAACTTGTACACCGTCAGCTCTTTACAATGTGGGATGCATCCATACCCACAAAAATTTTTTAAACGTTTCACCAAACCCATGCAACATCCAAGAAAATCACTTCACGTATAGAACTCCAGTATTTATAAACTTACTGTATCTTATATAAATCACCCAAAATACTCATCAACATACCAACATCACCCTTAAAAACCATGGGCTTCCACAGCCCACCGCCACCGTCCCATGGTCCAGCTGTCGTTCGTTTCGAGGCCGCGAGGAGATGCTACGGCAGGTGACGCACGACGTGGCGCAGACGGAGCTGGAGCTGAACCGCCACAGGGCCAGCAGCGAGGAGGTCCCTATCAGGGGCCATGGCTGGAGTTTGTGTATGGTCCTGGGTGGTGGATGTGGAATGAATTTTGGGATGAAGATGATTCAACCTATTCAACATAGATAATTTACGATCATTTGGAGAGTTTTGTTGGGGTCGAATGGACTATCATGGATGATTTAATGAATTCAATGTATTTGGATGAGTTGTTAATGGAGTTGAACGGATTTTGAATCAATGTGAATCGATTTCAGAAAGACCTTGATCAATTCTCGTGAGTCCTTGTGACATTTTTGCAACATTGTATCACAAGCCAGAAACATGGGCTAAACTAATGCAGTGCCCAAACTAACAGGGACCTCTGCAGGATTGTCTCTCGGACTCTCGGAGGGCTTGAAACCACCAAACAGCAAGAGATCTCCACCTCGTTGTTTTTTATATCATGGCTTGGCAGCTAGGAGAAGCGAGAAGCAGAAGAGCGCTATCAAGTTCTACACAAAGCCATGCAGCAACAGCAGCCCCTTGGTGCCAGTGGAGGGCTATGCGACTATGCCGACACTCTCATGTCTAATTTCTTGGGTCGAATTTGGAGGTCTTGGGATTCTTCATGCTCTGTTAGACTTTATTGTGGACTCTCTTTTATTGTGTTTTTCCCATGTGTTCTGTCCATTGATATCTCAGCTTGGTTTCTGGTCGGCTATTTTCATGGCGTTTGATCTCAAGGGCATGAGGCTGGCTGCACACTCCACATAGAATCCGGTGGCGCGTCATCCCCAGAGGCGTCCACTTTCTCTCGAAACAGGTCCAATTTGTGAAGATGTGTGAAATGTGAGGCTTCAACCAGCCGTATACATGGCTATAGATGGCAACCAACCACATTGGTGGTATTTTGGGTTTATCAATGGCTCATTAACCACCATCCACGTTTTATATCGAATCTTAACCAGCTATGGGAGGGGTCAGCTTTCAAAACCTCCAATGATGAAATCCATCGGATTGCAAGCGCTGCAAGCTTTCAGGAAACAATTCTCGGAGCACATTCAGCGCTACTCGCAGGAGTTTCACCAGTGCCGCAGTTTGATGCTTCCCCAATTTTTTGTATCTTTGGGTCACCATGGGATCTGTGTGTGTGGGATTGCTTTTGCAACCAGAAATATCAGAATCAGAAGCACATGCATTTCCAGTCGTAAGAAGGACCTGTAAGTTGATTTGTTTTTATGTTGTTGGCATGATCTAACAGGAACTCTACAAGTGATCCATTGACGTATCCTTGTTATTCGTGGTTGTTGGCGGTCACCTTTTGCGCGAGCTTATTCCATGATACTCCCAAATTTATATCCCAGTGTTGGCTAAATCGCCCTTTCTAACCTTTTACAACCATAAGCCTGGCCCTTGCAATTGGATACAAGTGGTGGGGGGTCAGCTTTGGAGGTACAAAGAAAAGGCCTCAGATCAGATGCAGATCTTGGCCATTCTGAATCGAAGGCTCAAAGAGGCCGGGGTTACGGGTCTGGGTCCTCGTGGCTTGGCCACTGATGAGTGCACAAAATCCACATGGATGGATGGATGGATGGATAGATAGATAGATAGATAGATAGATAGATAGATAGATAGATAGATAGAATTCAACGGCTTTCCTTAAAGAGAATGATCTACACATTAGACGTGAAGGAAATTGAAGGTAAGTTTCAAATATCTATGTTAGTTTCCTGGAAGGCGGCTGGGGTTGTACACCAGCTAGTGGGTATGAGAAGGGAAATACTTGGCCACGTAGAATTGGTTTCGTTAGTTTCATTATGTTTCATTATTACTACAATTATTACCACATGCAGTAATTCTAATTGCTTTAAATAGTGACATTATTATATACAGTTCATACATACGCAGATCATCCATGCTGTTGGTATACGTACCTACAAGTTTGGGTGTTGTTGGGTAGGTATATCGTCAGCATGAATATAGTACGTATTGGGATCTATACATCATTGGGAATGGGATTATCCAGAAGTTTGTACTCTTGAATGGGTAGCAACTGCGGACAAATCATATTATCCCTTCAACCAGCTTGAACTTCCCCATCCATAAGGCTTTCAGCCAACTTATGCATACACATTTGACTGCTAAAATTATCATTTGGGATATACTTGGATTTAGTTGAACTTGTTAAAATATCTTCAAATCCCATTGTTGTTTCATTAATCTAACGTAGCTGTGGAACATTATCCGTTGCTAGACAATTTACCTATGAACAAGTGTACTGTAGCTCTGTGAATTTACCAGAGGGTACATTCCCATTAAATTTTAAGCCCCATCATATTCCCATAATGTTCCCTCATATCCCTACTATATCCCAAATAACAATCTCATCCCAGGATTCATTTTGCACCCCGTACAGCGTTGTGATCCCATCAGGCGCTTCGCAACATGGAGGAGGAACGCCAGCGATTCATCCTGGCTCGCAGCAAACCAACTCCGCGCATCGGCGAGGCGCCAGGTACCTGCGGTGTCAGCCAGGTGCCTGGAAAATCCCCGAAAGAAATGGAGGTTTACATATAGCTGCAGGGAAAATCATAGGAAGATCATGGAAGATCATGGGAACATAGTGGAGAGATGAGAGTCATCTCACAGGAAAATAAGTGTTGAGAGGAAAATCATCGAACTAAATGGGGAGTTTTCCATCAAGCCATCAAGCCATGTTTGTTTCCCGAAGCGTATATTTCTTGTTTTGTATTGACATATCACGAAAGGTAGCCTCAAGCTGCCTGAGTTCTCCGCTTGCTGTGCAAGCTACTTTTCCTCTGGTTTGGGTCGGTGGTTCCGTGCTTGGTTTGGAGCGTTTAAGCTTTCGTATTAGTCTTAGGGGGGTGGCCCGGTATGAGGGAAGATTGGGGCCAATGTAACCGGGGCGTATCAACCGTCACATAAATTATATTGTTTTACACATTAAACAAACCCATGGTTAATTGGTGGTTGGGGTTGGTTGAATCAAACCAGCCAACCGTAAGCTTTACAACGTTCCCAACAGCTTGACCAGGAAGTGGAGGAGGAACTCCCAGAGGTGCTGGGAGACTGCAGCGGGTTCAACTAAAATGCGGGGTTAAACTGGCAAAACCGATGGCTGTGTCCTGACAAGCATGGGACCAAGAACATTGGTTTAACCAGCAGAGAATAGTTCAACATTGGTTGTCCCAAGAAAATAGGTTATTTCTTTGCAAAACCAAGGCTTCAAACTGCAGCAACAAGTCGTTGTATGACCAGCACACATCACATTTGAACAAAATGCAGGGGTGGACAAGAAATGGAATGTCAGAAATGAGCGGGGCACAGGAACCAACAAGAAATGTTGTCTAGTCAGCAAAAGGACTGCCGTTTCACCAACACAAAGCATGTGGCAAACAAACACGTGGCTGAACGAACAACCGACATTTGTTTTTCACCAGATTGACCAGCAAACCAGTACCACCCCAACCATTTCACATCTCAGGGCATGTAGTTTAAAAACTCCCATTGGTTGACATGAAACATGCCTTGCCGGAAAATGTCCCATTTGGCAACCGATGTAGACTGGCACCCTGGTTCCACAGCAGGAACCAGTGGATCTGGATCCCAGCCCGGTGTATCGAACTGATGCCGCTCGGCTCGGTCGGTTGGGATTTTGAGTGAAACAGCCTATTATATTTGTTGACATTTATTGATATCAATTCAGCAAGCTACATTTTTTGACTGTGGATTTGGTCGGAATGTTTTGTTGAAACAAGACCTGTAAATATTTGGCTTGCAAAAGTTCCATAATGGACATAGAAAATAAGATAAAATAAGTATGTTTTGTTTGTAAGGGTAGTGAAATAACCAATCGTGTCTCGAATTTTGGTTATCGTTTTATGTTTCGATCACAACACTGCCAGATGCTGAGGACATGGGGATGGACACTGCCTGGCGAGACTACAAGATCAGCAATATGGAGCCACTTGGATAACAACCTCCAAAGAAAAAGAGCATATAAAATCTTCAATATAATTATAGTCATCCCCAAATAGATGGAACAGATTGAAAAAGTACATATCCCTACTAATTTGATGGTGATTCACTGTTCCATCAATTTGGGAGTACTATAGTGATCAATTACTTTTTACTTTTTTGGGGGGTTGCTACAACCATCCAGAATGATGAGAAATGGTGATTTTACTTACACAACCAACCCCACAACCAACCATCCAGTATATATAATCATCAACAATGATGAAACGTGGGGATTCAACCGACCAATCTGGGGATTCAACGGGGAGTGCGTTTTTTTGTGCAAGAAATCCGGGGTGTTGCCTGCATTTTTTCCCGTAAGCCGTAAACCAATTCTGGCAGAGATGGGGGCAAGGGGTTTGTAAAATGGTGATTTTGACATTCTCTTGCTCAGCTCTGAAGACGAGGAGAACAAGAATTGTTTGGTCAATTTGAACCCTCAAGATAGCCATGGAAAATGGCCCGTTTGTGTTTTCCTATAGACATTTGTGATTTTGAATGGCTATGTTAAATTCCAGAAGGTATCCAAATTTAGGGGCGCCCGCTTTTAGCATCGTGTACCAGCCACGGGTATGTCATGGAAACCTGAGTTGACAGTGCTACTGCGACAATGTCAGACGTGCCCATACCTCCAGCATCCTCCAGCTACGGGCATTTATAACACCATTAGTTAATATTAGTTACGTACCATTCATTACCAATCTGCTTTGGAGATTGAGAGACAGAGAGACCAATCTGGTTTGAGATGTTTTGAAGTTTTGCAGACTTCTATTCTCATGGACTTTCCATGATTCTTCAGGTACAGGTAGCATTTTATCACCAAGAAACATCAACAGCAATGGTTTATCATCGTCGCCGCCCACGCGGAGGCTGGTGATTCCAGCCTCTAGGCCTATGCCCAGATTCAAGGCGCATCGATGATTTGTTGATTTTCGGAGTGGAAATCCACTCGAAAGGCGAAAGGGGAATCTTTTTTTTTGTGGGGGGAAATATGTGTATATTTTTAGGGCTATCCCAAAATGGGTTGATCTTTTATACTGATGGAGATCATCAATGCGGTTCAGATTTCTGAATGGTGGACCGCTATCCCCACGGAGCCGCCCCAAAAGGTGGACCGCGTCCGCCGCGCCGTGCCGAGCCCCGGCACCGGGGGCACCGGCACGCCCGGGAGTCGAGGGACGCCACGGAGCCGCCCGGTGCCCTCGCAGCTGCTGCAGCTGCCGCAAGTGGCGCCGGAACTAGGCACCTGGGGACCTGGGGACATTGGCGATTGAAAAAACTTGGTAAACCTTTGGAAAAAGTTGGGAAAAAAACATGGCAAACTATGAAAAAACGAGGGCTTTACCTGGAAAAATATGCAAGAATCAACCATTAGCATATGACATGCTAATGGTTGATTCTTGCTGAATTCTGTGTTTCTATAGTTTTCAGATGATCGTCAAAAATGACTAGACTACTATGCTGTAAATCTTTTTTAGGGAAACCCTGGGGCGCCATTTTTGGAGCAAGAGACAGCGAAGTGTTTCTGACAACACCCCGGACATCAAGCATCAGCATAGTGATGTAATTACTGTGGTGTGAAACTGTGAAACATGGGAAATTATCGAAATTTGACCAAACATAATTAATCATACTTTGTCAGGGTTTATTGATTCCGACCTATGCACATGAAATATATAGACACACACACACATATATATATAGATAGATAGATAGACATATTATGTTATGTGATATCCGACTAAGATTGTAGTGTTTTCTGCGGTGTGCCCGAGGCTAGCCATATAGAAGGGGAATGTGCACAAGTACAGTAGATAAGGATGATCGGCAAGATGGGTAGGCTCTAGCTGCGGGAACAGCAGAGACAAATTGAGAACCATTGGGCTTTATGTAGTTGGGATGGTCATCGCAGCTGAGGATTTTCAAGTCGAAGAATTTTGTGAACCCTGAAGCAGGTAGGAAGACAACACCCAAGCATATGGGAATAGATCAGCAAAGGCTTCGATTTGCGCACATATGCAGTAGTTTTCAGGTGAAAATACACGAAAATACTGCATACCGCTTAAGGTGGAGACCAAGGGGTGGCGCTGGAAAACGGGTCAAAAAATGGATTGCTAGGTCTGGTAGGTAGGGCCTACAGTATTTGCAGCTTACGTGTGCAATTAAACAATATCATAGATGCAGGGATTCTCCGTTGCCAGAGGTGAGATACCAGAGAATACTCCTCCTTTTGCAAACATGCCGTTTGTTCAACATCCTCCTGGAGATTTCTTCGTAGATCATTCGTAAATCACTTTCCCTTTCCCCATTCACACTTGCACGTGTGAAGTTGGAACATGCCAGGAGTTTGGGCTTACAGTAACTGGTTGATGCCGCCCCGAAGGTCATAATCACCCATGACATCCAATGACCACCCAGCCATAAGCATAACCAGCGGGGCCAGCGGCGCCAGGCACAGTGCTAGCGCCACGGAGGGATTCTTGAGATCGAGGGAAGACGCGTTTCACCACGAAGGGACGATTTCTGAATTTCTGAAGTTCGGAAATGGTTTGTATAAGTGGCTTAATGTAGATCCCAATAAATGTGGAATGTGTATATAAATGGATATAAATATTATATTTTAATTTTTCCCCTAGATTTTATCAGAGTTGTCCTTCTCCTTCTCCTTCTTCTCCTCCTCCTTTTCCTCCACCTCCTCCTCGTCCTCCTCCTTCTCCTCCACCACCTTTGCCTCCCCTCCATGTTCACTTCCGCCTTGCCAACTCTTCGCCAAGCTCTTCGCCAACTTCCGCACGCAGTGGGCACTGCTGGACCTCAACTGCAAGGGTCTGAGCGCACTGGGCACCGCTGGACCTCAACCTGGGACCTTCCGAGCTCAGTGAGCACCGCTGGACCTCAACCTGGGACCGTCCGAGCTCAGTGAGCACCGCTGGACCTCAACCTGGGACCCTCCGAGCTCAGTGAGCACCGCTGGACCTCAACCTGGGACCCTCCGAGCTCAGTGAGCACCGCTGGCCCTCAACGGCCAGATAGAATGCCAGAAGATATGCCAGATAGAACGCCAGATAGAATGTCAGATAGAACGCCAGATAGAATGTGAGAAAGAATGCCAGAAGATATGGCAGACAAAGTGCCAGAATGTTTGCCAGATAGAATGCCAGAAGGTATGCCAGATAGAATGTCAGATAGAATGCCAGATAAAGTGCCACAATGTTTGCCAGATAGAGTGCCAGAACATATGCCAGAAGATAGGCCAGGTAGAATGCCAGAAGATATGCCAGATAGAATGCCAGATAAAATGCCAGAAGATATGCCAGATAGAATGCCAGAAGGTATGCCAGATAGAATGTCAGATAGAATGCCAGAAGGTATGCCAGATAAAGTGCCAGATAGAATGCCAGAACATATGCCAGAAGATTTGCCAGATAGAATGTCAGAAGATATGCCAGAAGATATGCCAGGTAGAATGCCAGAAGATATGCCAGATAGAATGCCAGAAGATATGCCAGATAAAATGCCAGAAGATATGTCAGATAGAATGCGAGAAGATTTGCTAGTAACAAAACGTATAGATGTCATGGTGGGGATAACTCGAAGTAAAGTAATTTGTGCATGCGGAAAATGTATAAACATCTATACAATATGATGTTTTATTTTGCATAATACTATGCAAACTAAATGTAGACGTGACTTAACCGCGGTTGAAACCATCATCTACTAACTCCGGAGTTTATCCCAGGAGGCTGCAGCGAGAATGTGGGAACACCGGGTGAAAGGCGGGGTGGTAGACCTTCCAATCTAACAATGGGAAGCCCTTCCAAATCATTCCAAATTCATCCGGAAGTTCATGCAAAACTGTAAGTTTTGCTGTTGTCATTTATTACACAACTACTTATAAAATCTTTGAAGCTGATATAGTTAAACCCAACACTAACTTCCTGCCATTCAACTGTTTTGTTTCATCCTTGCCGCAAAAGAACGGAGACCGGATACCGCGCTCCCGCCGCTGCCAGTGCTAAAACGTCGCACTGGCCTGTGGGCACGCGGTAAGGTGGAGAAAGCAGGGCCAGGAACAGCTCTGAACTTGGCAGCGCGTGAGTGGGCGTGAGTGGCCATGCGCAGTCGTGACATGATACCCAGCAATAGATGAATGAAGGTCCATCACCCATGACATAAAGTGAATATGTTAGACGGGTCTTGCTTTTCTGGATTGTGGGCTCCAAACAAACCAACTTTTTCCATCCTAGGGTGATAAAATTCTGAAAATCAACCCAATTTTCTGTGGAACCCCTGGTTGTGTTGGTTATTGGGCTATGATTGGCCATGGTATGATGGAACTTCCCTTGATATATCCCTGTTATATAAGGGATCATAATCATATTTGAATTTTTATGCTATATTTGCCCGCGTCCACATCAAAACCAAGTTTCTATAATCAATGAATTGGTCTAAAGTCTAAAGGAAATTTTTCACCGGAACCCACTGTTTTGACTCAAATATAAGGTATCATCATATCATCCATTCCTGTGGATTTTCCCATCCCACCCTTTGGTTATTAGCTCCACACTGAACATAGGGAAACCATGGACCATAGAAATTGGTGCGAAAATGTGAACAATAAATATATATATATATACCTCTTAAACATGGGGATGTTCCAGTTTGCAAACTGTTGAATAACCAGATATAATAAGTTCAGAAAACTTAGAAATCCATCGCAACGGCTGCGACTTGGCTCCAGAATCGACCATTTTTTCCCGCGGGCGTCGGGACGTCTCCTACGCGGGAGGCGGGGGGGATTGGGGCGTGTCTAGGCTGTTGAATTGGTTGGTGAATGATGTCAAAACGAGAAACCTTTAGAATATATGTATATATATATATACACACATGTGCTCTTAGGTATGAAATCAATATATGCGCATATATATATGGTATATGTGTGTAATTATGTGCATTATATTGAATTATTACAAATGGGTCACAATGCAATACCAATGAAACTTCATAGTAAAACTGCATAGAACCATGAACCAAAGCTGCCTCAGTGGTCCGGCAGATTGGCTAGTCTTGTCCACGTTTCACATGTCCTGAACTGCAGCAACTGCAGATATGCAACACATCCCAGGAAACTCAAGAAGTCATAGAAGTGACGCTTATGTATAATATGCATATATATATATTTATGTGTGTGTGTGGATCATTTCAAGACGGCCAAGACTGACCCTTATATATACTACACAAAATCTATATGACACACATTGAAACATGCACTTCTCACGACGCTGAAAAGGTGAGGGCTCCCAGGCGCGTACTTCGGGGAACCCACCAAGTGGGCCATGGTTGCGGTGGGAGGATTCCCTGATGTGATGAAACCATGATTGATCCGACTTAGAGAAATTAATAGAAATTATAGTTTTCGCATGTTATTTATAAGGAGTTCAAATTTGGCCAGTTCACTTCAGGCTTAAAATATAATTTTCCCAGATTATTTTGAGGAGGTATGGGTTCAAGCGTACCTTGCATCCCCAGAAACAGGGACCAAAGAAATTTGAACCCAAACGCCACAAGAGAATTGCTAAATTCAAATATTTTGGGGGAAAACCAGGGGGTCTGTAACGCAGGGTGAAAGCAGGAGACATGGGCCCAAGGTGCCACACCCTTCCCAGTTTTCAGCACCTATTTGCCAACCATTTCGTGGCATCCATTTGCATAAAAGTCAATACCAGGTCCGCCAAACCTGTCAATTCAACTTCTGCCATGGGCGGATAGTAGGGGACTGTCATAAATTGAACGCACATGTGTTCAAGGCCTCAAGAAATCTTGGCAAAAAAACGGGGCATCCCCAATGGATCTTGACAGTTGAAGATGGTTTTGCCCCATCTTCTTACCTACCAAGATGGTTTTGCCACGTTTTCACTTTGGGCATGTTTTGTCTATGGCACATAGTCGTTCAGAATTCGAAGTGTCCCTAGGACCAGAAACGGCTGTTTCAAGTTGTCACTACCGCAGTCCCTGAAAAGATGATGTTTGCTGGTTAAGCCCATCGAATTCGATTTACCAAAATCATCCAACATCCCCATCAGCTTAGGGCTCAGCTGTGAGGAGAATCTCCTCCATGCGGAATGGATGGAAGCTTCCTGGGTTCGAAAGCCCAGATCCGAAGCCCAGCGCAAGACCGGAGCCAAAGGTTGAAAAAGGTTTGAATCCTTTGCCCAAAAGTGCTGGTAGAAAAATATTTAAATATATAAACATACAACCCATGACCATGGCAACTCAATGGAAAGATATATGTAGAAACATAAAAACTTCATCCCTGTCTTTTTTTGGCGGGGAATCTTCACAGCTTCTAGCGGCTCAAGTCTTCCCGGGGAACGGCACCGTGAAAGGCCTCCGGGGCTTGGGATGAAGTGGGGACTGGATGATCCAGCCATTCTGGGAAACCCGGTGACATCCTGTGACCCGGTGTAAATATCTATAAATATCCACCGTCTACTACAATGTGAATGTATTAATTACTGTATATATATATATATTTTTTTTTTAAGAACTCATACGCGCATACGGTATGTGTATATATATATGTATTATGTACGTGATTGCGCGTGCGTGTGCGCGTAAATTTATGTATATTATAGACACATATTAACACGTGCGTACGGACACATTTTGCACACATGTATGTATGTGCATATGTATATGTAGATATACGTTATATACATTTCATACGCATATTATATGCCCATCATCCCAATATACCCTTTATATATTATATAAATATAATATATATAATTACTCAAATTTTAGACTTGTTTGGTTTATGTGCTGCGATTCTTTACAAATTGGCTTTTGCCTGCCATTTACACAAGTCGAACTGTGGGCCGAGATTTGCACATCTTATATTTTTTATATTTTGTTGTCGGTCATATATTTTGAGATGACCTCAGTTCACTGTTGAAGTCCGGTCATGCTTTAGTCATCTCAATAATATCTCTCAACTCCAATATAATCTACAAGCTGGGGCCTACAACAATAGCCAAGTTGTTTTTTCATGCGCTAGGTGAACAGGTGATTTCTTTGTTTTGTGGAAGATATCTCGTTTAGTGGGAGTTATAGCCAACAAACATCACTGGGAGGCACCTGAAAGCGGACGCCAGGGCGCCAGGATGCGCCCCTTGATGGCTGCAGCGAAGGGCTCGAGAAGGCGCATGCAGGGCTGCAAGGTCGCGGTCAGATGGGGGCAGAGATGAAGATCTTGCGTTGAAGAGGACATCCTTTGAGATCCTTCTTAATGTTGGATTTGCTGAAGATGATGGTTTTGTTTTCCCAATGGGAAAGTCTCCATTTGGGGAATTTATAGGGGATATATGTCTATTTTTTTAGGGTTCCTCAAGCAAATCCAAGTTTTAATACGGGATAGTGTGGGTAAATCCAATGATAGTAGGGTATAAGGGGATTCAATGGGGCCCCTTCTTGATTAATTAGAGAGAGAGACCCCGCAAGTAGCGAGGAATTGCTATTAAAATGCTTCCAGAAAAATATCAACAGTCGATGGGGGTTTAGCAACTTCCCGGGTTGACACTTCCAAATAACATAGCTACTGATTGAAAATTGTTGTTTATAATTGATTTACCCATTA